GTAATTTAATATTATTCTCATTAAAACTGTTAATCGTATATTATTCAAAGAGCGTCTGAGTGTAAATTATATAGTAGACGACAGATTATATAATAGTAAATTAATTATTGCTTTGAGTCTAAAATTGTAACAACAATTTTTATACGTCATAATTTCGATATTTTTGAATAAACAAACGCGATTAACGATTTTTATAAAACAGGTTTATGAAGTCGTAAAAAAAATGTTTCACGAATAGTGAAAGCCTCACGAATCTGTCTAGACACACATGAAACTTTTACACTTCGTATATCTATCAATATGTACGATACGCGTATTGCCGTGCATGTATGTGCATATATATATGCTCGAGCTCAAAGTTAATCTGGATTAACCGGTCTTGAGTTCTTCGCAGATAAGGGGAAGAGAGAGGTAAAAGGGGTGATGAGGCGGGACAAAAATCGAGATCAAAGAAATATGCCCTCTGGAGAGAAGAGGCTAACCTCTCTCTCGGTTTCAGTATGTTCTCGTTTAATTCTTAAATCGCAATAGTAGGAGCATCGAAGTCAAAGTGCATTGTTGTGTGCGACGCAATGGAGAACTTCTCTCTTTTTCTAACTTGATAATTATGTCAATGACGCATGAATGAAGAAAGTAAAATGAGTAAGTTGAACTTTTTGAATTACACATATAGTTTTGAAAGAACAATCTTTGAAAATATACAGATTTAGATGAATTTTAAGAGTGTTTTAAACTTGCAGTATGTGTTACTTGTAAAAAGCGTCGTCTCTAGTCTTAAATAACAAAACTTTAATAACAAAATTTTTGTCGCTAAATGAAAAAGAAACTCCTTTAATTAAAATATAAAAACAAGCAATTGGCATAATGGTAAATTATAAAAAATAAAATATTTATTTTAAAAGTTAAATAAAAAAAGGCTATATTATTTACTTATATTCAAATCGATTTTTAAGTAGAAAAATTTCTAGAATTTAATTATTAAGATATTTAACATTATTATACAAGAATGTATGAGAGATCATGATAAATGTTGATTTTGTTGCACAATTTCTTCAAAAATTTAACTTTTATTATTCAATTGCTAGAAATTAAGCGGATGCAAAGTCACGAATACGATCTCTAACTCGATTCCTCCACTCTTAGATAACAAAATTTCATAGTAAGCATGACTTACACCATTCTTATTCTAATCACGCGAAGCAGATGGCCGATCTCGTGAACATCCAAGCGATTTAAACCCTCTCCTTTTTAATTATCACTTCTTGATGGACGTCATGTGAGGTACCGCGTTGAAGCCGCGCGATGCACAGTCCGATAATGCTCAGGTATAATGTATAATAAATCATGAGGGGGTGATCTTCGTACAAAGTGTGATATATCGAGTTTATTATAACAGATGTTCGACACGATCTTCATTACGAGACGAGTATAATGTAAAAGAAAATCCCGATTTTATTCTGTCATATTCTATCTCAAGGCCGCGAACAATCTTTGCTATATCATTTTCGATTTTTATAATTATCGAACTATTAAATTTCTTTTATACAATAACAAATAACTTTTATATAACAAAGCAATAAATCTATATCTATATATTGAAATGATTCATAAATTATTATAAAATTTAGAATTTTGTTTGCACGATTAGCGTAATTATTTCTTATAATTAAAACAATTTTTGGATAAATCGAAATAATTATCAAAGATAAATAAAAATCATTTTTTATAATTTTCACATATAAAATATACTTTATATTAGTTAACAATAACTACATATAATATTTGATAAGAAACAATAAAAAGCATAAAAATTATTAGATTAAAATTAAGACGTCTTTAAAATATTTTGTCGCTTAATATTAGCTGGCCTTAACCTTAATAATGCTATCTCCTGTTCGTATTTATGTTAAATATGATTTTATTCGATGGAAACGAAGATGAGAGTTCGGGGTTAACAAGGATTGGATAGTCACATTTAGCATGGTGGAGAATAACGATGCCGCGTAGCGGGCATTTCTCATGTATTCGTTCATCAAGTGCACTTCATCGATTTAGAATTCGTTTGCGTGCACAACGCACCGCTCTCACAATCCCGACCTTTAAAAGCCGGCTTTTAATTTACTGCCAATGATACTAAAGACGAAAAGAATATCCGGTCGCGATTCCCAACTTGAAACCGTACCGCCTTCGTTCGCTGATACTTTGGTTGGTCTTGGAATCTTTCTACAGGACGATACACGGCTGGATCGAAAACTTTTGCTTTAAACTGATAGTCAGGAATAACAAATCAAAAAAAAATAATAAGCCGAAAGAAACGATTAAATGTTATTGATCTCATTTACGATTAAAACAAATATATAGTTAGCAGACGTGTGAAAAATAAAAATTCAGATTTATGATTATCAAACCAATATTAAACAATACTTAAATCCTTTACGATGATTAATACAAAACATTCTTATTTGATAAATTCTTAATTGATAAAAGCATCTTATTCTACTGTTATCAAAAAGATAAATAAATTGGAGAATTAGGAGATTCTCAGTTCAAGAGTTCTAACAATATATCTCTATAAGTCCATCATCAATTTAAAAGATTTATTAAAAATCATCTAAAAATTAATTACTGCATTTTTATCAATTTTTGTGTTGCATGAAGATTAGCATATCGAAAAAAATTTATTGCATTTAAATAATCTAGTTCCATTTGAAATTATACATTCACTTATGTTTTCTTCATCTTTATATGAGATTTGCATAGTTTCTCGATTTAACCGTGAATCGCCCTGTATAGGTATTCCATTAAGCGTTATTTCGCTCCGGTCGCAGTTAAGCGTAGCCACGAGTGCGAATGAAAATTACATAGCAGGACCACATGCGTTCTCCGTGTATCTTTTTCTTTTTCTTACGGCCTTTTCGCCTCCATTGTGCCTCTTTAAATGAAATCTATTTACAACGACGCAGTTAACGTGCCACTGCACGCGATGCTCTCGGCGAGAATCGACACGGGGCGGCAGTCCAGACAAATACGAAAAGAGAAGTTCGTAAATACAATGAAAAAAAAAGAGACAGAGAAACAGAGAGAAAGAGAGAGAGAGAGAGAGAGAGAGAGAGAGAGAGAGAGAGAGAGAGAAGAAAAAGAGAAAGAGTAAAAAAGAGAGTCGAATTATGTGCTTCTCATTTTTGTATTAAGTGAATAATTGGTACATATATTAGTATACATTGGAAACGAAACGAATGGCAAATATGAGAAATTGTCACGTCAAGGATTCCTTTAACATGATTATTTAAAAATCAACATCTTTTCCACAATTTTAATTTATACATGCATTTTAATTAATGCGCAACTCCATAAAAGAATTCATTTATATAAATGCAACATTTACTTATGTTTACTTATCTTTTGAGGATGCAAGAAATCTATGGAATGCGAGCGAACATTCATGATGGGAGGTTCGACCGACGAGTATCGGGGTTGGAAACAATCTGTATCTATTATTCATGACGGCCAACGTTCGTATGAAATTATAATTGGCCACTCGTGCGTCAATCGACCAAATTGGTTCAT